GAAGACTTACTACTAATTCAATAAAAGCAACATGTAATAGCCCAGTAATTCAGAATAAGCAAGTATTTCATGACCTCACAAACATTCACAGACTTCCAATTCATAATATAGTTCAACTTTAATTCGAAAAAATAATATTTTTAAAAATATTTGGATAATTTTATGTGAAACAAAAATATTGATCGACCAATCACAAGATTTTTAACTATGCTCCCATTTACAAATTGGTTATGATCGCCGCCTAACAATTTTCGTGTAACGAATTGTTGATACATTTATTTATTATTATACGCGATTTGCGAATATGAAATATAGATATTCTATTGCAAACATTGGCATACCTTCAGGTACTTGTTATATAAAAATTTATAATTTATAAATAAATGATTATAATTTATAATGTTTTTGGGATAATAGTTGAAGAAGAACAAGAAAATCAAATTGAAAATTTGAGTGATAAATGGGTTTGTGATATTTGTTTAGATTATATTGATAAAAAGGTAAATCGGTTTGAACCTATTAAAGCAATATATATGTGCGTGTGTTGATTTAATAATAATCAGACTGACAACAATAATATCATTTCCATTATTCGCATCTTCTTTAACATTATCAATTTCTTTATTCTTTTAAAACAAAATAGAAACATTATTCGTACCTAACTTGCTTAGATCCAAAGTGTAAAATGGTTTCACATTTGGTTTGTCTTGCTCAAATCTTCTTGAGATGTGAAAGAAACAAAAATATCAAGAAGTTTGAAGATATTCTTGGTAACAATAGTAATATTACAAATAGCGACATTTGTCAAAAAATTGACACTTATTATCTTTTACCAAAATATGGAAATTGTCCTTCGTGTCAAAAAAATATATTATGGGATGATTTGATAAAAGCAATGCGCGAAAGATTTCAAACCAATTTATAATTTATTTATTATTTATATTTCGTCATTTGGTTTATATTTTTTTTTTGAAAAATTTACTATATTTATTGTTATTAAAAAAATGCAAAAAAATACTGCAATAAAGTAATAATTATATGATAAATTTTTCCTGTATCTTAGTAATATTTATTTCTTCCTTCAGGACAATGTTATATGATACATATGATATTTCAAATAACTTAAAATTTTTGGTTGTTTGCTTATGAATGTGGAGAATTATATCAACCACTGATCTACAATATTTAATCTGAATTGATTGACAGCATATCAATAAATAACACCTTTTTTTGAAATGTCTCTTCAACAGCTAAAAATTCAAACAGGAGTTGTAAAACGGTTGGCCTTATTTATTATAGCTCTTTAATAATTTTTATTATTATATTAATCATTGATTAATCATTCTTAATTAGACTTAAAAAAGATGTTAATTCTTATCAAAAGGAATTAGTACAACAACAAAATCACATTGATAGAATGGTTCAACAAGGTTATAATGAATACGATGTTAAAAAACAGGTATTCATTCTTACTGGAATCAGGTTTAATTATTCGCTGATGATTATTAATTCAATTATTTATCTATTTATTAAACAAATAAATAGAAGGAAGTTTTAGATGAAACTGTGCAGATGATTCCAGATTGTAAAAATCGTCTTAATGAAGCTTATAAAGTGTTGAAGGATTTAGTGGTAAGTAATTTGTTTTTGTTTTTTTTCCAATGATGATGATGATTAATTTATTATTTTTTTTTTTTCTTGGTAAGAGTAAACAAGATCCATCTTGGGTTGGTACAGATGAGTTAAATAAAGCTGAAGAAACTTTAAAAGAGATTGAGTTAGACAGAGTTGAAGAAAAGGTTGGGTTGAAGAACTCTGATTCTTAATAGAGATTTTTTTGGCAAGCATTAAAACAAAATAAAATTCAAACTAATAATAATCTAATATATTTTGATAACAATAATTAATTATATTTATTTATTATTTTAATGTAATTAATGTAATTAATGTAATTATATAAATTTAAGTTTTTATAGTATTAAATTTTGCCAATAAACATTTCTAAATATATCTTTCCATCACCAACCAACCAACCAACAAATCAAAATGTATATTTATGAGTAAGCACTTGAACTCTTTTTAGATTTATTATCCTCTTTATACGATTTAAAATGTTCTAATAAATCATAAGCATCTGTTTCAAGACATCTTGTAAAAGAAAGGAATAGAGATTTAAGGTTAATGATGATATAGATTATCTGAGAATTTTTAAAAATATTTTTTTGAAAAAAAAAGGATATGATAAAAGTGATTCCTGAATTTCGGAAATTGGTACTTTTACAGATTTACAAATTGAACTTAGTCCTTGTTCAAGTTTATTAATATAATCACTATAATAAGAACTATTATTAAAAAGTTCTGGATCCTTTGAAATTATTTCCACGGCATTTAAAAGTTGCTATTTTTTAAATAATATTAACAAAAAAAAAAAATTAAAATTATAACGATAATAATAACACCAACTACTAATAATGATTTCCCCCCAAAAAAAAATACCTGAGCCAATCTTTTAACTAGTGCAATTTTATAATCACTAAAATCATTATCATCCAATAATGTAATATTTTCAGAATTAAGATTATTGTTATTATTATCGTTATTATTATTATTATTATTATCATCATTATCATTTGAAAAATAATCTATATTTTTTGAACGAAATGAACCATAATTTTGAAATGATTTAGGGCTATTCCAACTCCAAATATTATTATCGTCATCTTCATTATTTAATGAATTGTTATTAAAATCTAATGATGTTTTTCTTGAGAATGAGCCAACTCTTTGATGTCGTATATGCTGCGGCTCATCTGAAAATGCATCAATAGCTTTATCTGTAATCGATTTACTGGCTTCAGGAGAAGTAGGTGTAATTGGTGGATCCCAACTCCAAGTATCAATACTTACTACACCGCTTGAAATAGGATCATCGTTTGGTAATGGTATATCGAGAATGGTGGTTCTACGTCTAGATCTCAAGATATGATTTGGATTTTTTGAAAGTGATACTTCTTCTGGTGGGAAAGTCCATGACTTAACAAGATGAAGTGCTAATAATGGACACCCGATCCTATCATAGGCAAAAATAGTTCTTAACACAAAGAAAAACTCGGTTTCTGCCGAGATTTCTGCTGCTCCTCTAAGTGTCTGTACAGATTTTTCTTTTAATTGTTTGTATAGAACTATAAGTGCTGCATCAGGTGAATTTGATGTAGAAATTTGCGATTCTGGCACTGTTTGATCTGCGTCACATAAAGTTTCTAGAGGTAACTAATTTATATTAAAATAATAAATTATCATTAAAAATGATAAAATGATTTATATTATTTATCATTTATTGAGTAGTTACCATTATAGCTTTTACAGCTTTATCTCGTTGGTTTAGAAACCAAAAAGATAAACTAGCCAACCATCTATCACCAGTTTTAACAGCAAGTGGAATAATATGTTCCTTAAAAACACTTGTGAGTACAGGTCCACTATCACCTTAATTTCCCCGAAAAGATATGGACAGATTAAGTTAATGAAACTATACATTGATGTCTATTTCATCATGATCATGATAATACCTTCATAAACACGACAAATAGCAATAGCTAAATGAAAATCATCTAAATATTTCAAACAAACATTTACAGCATCTTTTAACTTATCACCAAGAAGAAAGAAAGCCGCAGCATATTCTAAAAATTCATTTCATGAATTAATTATAAATACAAATAAATAAATAATTAAATAATTAATTAGATTAGATTAGTTACCATATCTTTGTTTGCCTAAAAGAACATAAGCGTTTTTTAAAGCAGCAGTTTTCCATTTTGATTCATCAAAATTATTTGCAAGAAATTTCAACATCACAGCTTGTTCCTTATGATGATTGGCAGTTCTCCATAATCCCAATAATAATTTTTTTTTTTTTAAAGCCATATAAAATAATGAACAATCTGTAGGGTCTCTTTCTTCTTTTGCCATATAATGATTACGTGCTATTATTTCCATTTGTTGACGCTAAGATTAAAAAAAATTAAATTTGTATTAATGTATATATTGTTTAGGAATTAATATAAATAACATACAATTGTATCAATATTACGAATCCATAAAAAAATTCCATGAACTCTGGCATCCTTCCAAAAGAATTTACCACCAGAAGCCATTGTACTATATTCAATCAATAAATCCTACAACAGCAAGTATTAAGTGTGTATACAGAAGAATATGTAAATCAATTATTAAAGGCATAATGATAATAATCTGCGCGAGATACCTGAGATTCACTATGTAATGCCCAAGCCATATCTCGAAAACTTAATTCTGATGAGCTTATAGCAGATGTTAATTTAGAACGATGTAAATAATGATATCGACGCATAAATAATACATATCTAACACCGTTTTCGTCTAAACTTCTTTTTTGACTTTCAACCTAAACAAACAAACAAATCAATAAACGTATGTATATATATATATATATATGTGAATAAAAATTCAAAATTATACTTGTATTATAGTATCAACTAAAGCAAGTAATTGTGCTTGTTCGACGTGTGATAAATCTGGGAGTGAAATCGATTTTAATTTTTCACTTAAGAATTCAGCTACTTCTTGGGTAAACTCAAGCGTGGATTCTTGAGATCTAATAAAATTAAAATTCAAAATTAAACAAATAATTATTAATAAACATAAATTATTTTTAATTATAAAGCATGAAATATGTACCCGTCATCATCACTATCTTCATCAAATAAAAGGCTGTAACGACGTGTCTTAATAGTTGATGTCGTCTTTAAACAAAACGAAAAATTTCATGTAAATTATAATTCAAAAAGGTGACAATCATTATCATTAATAATTTAAACTAACTTTGTCTTCTCCAAATAATTTATCAAAAGGCATGGGAAGAATTGTTGTAATTGGTTTATCGTAACTTAACAATAACTTCATATATTTATAAAGATGTGCAAGTATCTGTTTAACAAGTTCCATTCTACCTATTTTTGTTAATAAATAAATAAATAAATAAACATAATGATCTAATTATTTAATTAAAAATAAACTCTGCTTAAACTCTGCTAACCCCATAAAATATGTTGTATCAATAATGTTGGATGATGATGAGGTAATGGTCCATTTAAATAGTCGACAACATGAAACAAAGTTGGATATTTGTTAACACCAGTTATATTTAACACTAAAATTTATTTTACATTTGGAAAAAATCATTAGTTTATTAGGAAAATAAATTATTATTATCTATAGTTTAATGAAATAACATAATATATTACCTTTCTTAAGGTCCTCTCTACTTAACCATTTATTGTAACAACGTAATTGATTACCATTAGCAACAATAAGTGAGCCTTGACTTCCCCATGATATAGCAGAAATTGGTAACAATATCTCTCTATTTATTCATCATAATTAATTAATTAGTCAACTAACTGCTTATTTATTTAGTTGTTACACGCTTACATGACAACAATAATAATAGTAACGATAAATTACTTATTCATATCAATTTCTGAAATCAAAGTCCATGATGCTTGTATATTTGTATAATGTTTACGAGTATAAATAGATATTTTTTGAGAAGTTGCAATAGCAAGTACCAATTCTGCATTTGAGGTGTATAACCAATCAATATCAATAACTTTTTCACTAATAGATTTTTTTTTAAAAAAAAATTTATCAATGTTAATAATAATAATAATAACAATAATAATATATATATATATATATATATATATATATATATATATATAAATAGTTTCATATAGATTAATTAATATATAACCAGAATTCTGTTATAAAATCTTTTGAAGCAGGCAATCTTTTAGTCAGACATTCCCATATTGTAATTTCATAACCGGATACTGTTTCTAAAACTAAATAATAATAGCAATAATAATAATAATAACGTAAGTGGATATTTCTTAATTTATAAATAGAACAATAAAACTAAACAACATACCAACAGCAACTTTTCCTTGAGGACCACATCTAATTAAAGTAGGCGATTTATTATTATTATTACTATTACTACTAATACCATCACTAATTTCTATTTTTACTTCTTCCAACCAAAATTTACGAACGGTAGCTTTACGATTGCCGACATTATCATCATCATCATCATCATCATCCTTTTGCATATTACATTGCCAATATCTAATATAACCATCATCAGTAAAAGTTAAAATTACAGGAGGACTTAGACCTCTTGTTACTCTATACAATCTTGAATGTATACCAGTCCATTGTTCAACAGCTACAGCACCAATTATCTTATTTGTGATTGGAAGTTTTGATTTTGAGATAAATTTGGATTGAATTGTTGCTGCTGCTGTTGTTGGAGGAAGAGTGTCTTGTGAATTTTGTATGATGTTCCAACAAAAAACTATATTTTGATGAGAGCTAACTCCAGCAATATAAGTTTTTGATAAATCTTTTGTTGTTTCTTGTGGTGTGGTTGAAGTGGTGGTGGTTGAAGAAGTGGTGAGTTCAAAAGAAAATAAAGACATTAATTCAAAGGAAGGATCATATTCTTCAAGTATCAATATTTGAGTAAAATTAATAATATTATTGCTATTATTATTATTATTTGGATCAAGTTGGAAAAGAACTATCCTTATTCCGTCATAAGCAGCTAAGCAATTTCCACCTGGTAAAACACAAACAAGTTTTATTTTAGAATCAATTGAAAAAGGCGATTTTTCAACTATGAATTGAGAGTTTTTTTCGGTATTATTCTCATTAAATAATTGCTGTTGTTGTTGTTGTTGTTGTAAAAACGGGGTTACTATATCCCATAAAATGATTTCGTCATCTTTTGCCAGTGATACAAAACTATCAGTCCTAGGAGCTTTGATAATTGTTGTGATGTCACTGTGATGGCCAGTCCACGAATTTTTAAGATTCAATGGTGAAGAATTTTGTTTTAAATCAAATAAATCAACAAGTCTAATTGCATAGCAGTTAATGCGACCTTGATTATTTTGAGCTACTATTGTGAGTTCTACTAAACCTTATGTTTAAATTATTTTTTTAACTAATTATTTAGTTAAATGTCCATTTATATAAACAATAAAAATGAAAATAATAATTAAAAATAGTAATGATATGCTTACATTGAAAAGAAATATTATTTGCTTTTTCATGATAAATAGCAGTACTTCCAAAAAAATATTCAACATCAGATAATGGGACTCCTGGGTTTATACGAAGCAAAACAAATACTTTTGGAATACGACGTGGTCTACAATAAAGGTTCTAATAACAGATCATTTTAAAATAAATGATTAACTTGAAAAAATAATTCATGAAAAGTGTATATATATAAATGGACTGATTAATTAATTACCCGTATACCCCAAATAATCATTGTACCATCATGTTGAATCTGATAGAATAGATCAGGAGTATCAAGAGCAAGTTTTTGAAATTTTTTTAAACGAGCACCAATTACTGAATCATCCAATTCACCTTCTAAAGAATCAAGAGCTATTTGTATAGAAAGTAAGAATTCTTTAGGGTGTATCCAATGTATAGGAGTATAACGATCAAAACCATCATCTTCAGCAGAAGAAGAAGAGGAGGAGGAGGAGGAGGAAGTAGACAAAGACATTAAAGATTGGCTGGGATCTATGGCAGTGACTATATAAAGAACGGATTGTTCATCTGGATTAGTTGCAGCCCATAATCGGCATATTCCATCCATACACATTGTTAAAAGAATATTGCTGCCTGCATAACTATATACATTTGAATGTTTAATTTGTTTTCTTTTTAAAAAAAATTATATTATTATTATTATCATTATACCTTTTTTGTTCAGGGGGGCCCTTTCTCCATGAAAAATTCGTGACAGATCTTGGGTGTGATAGATAACTGAAATTAGATTTCAAAGTTTTAGTTTCAACAGATTTATAAAGCCACCAGACTTTTACCAATCTATCATGCTTTAAATAGTAGAATAAATATATTAATGAATGAAATATGTATGTATGTATGTATGTATGTATGTATGTATGTATGTATGTATGTATGTATGTTGTTATTATTTTAATAGTTATAATTATAAAAATGATTGACCAATACCTTCCCGATAGTAGCAATAAGTTTATTATCTGGTGAAATTTGCATATGAATTATTTTTGAACCAAGTCTGAAATAATAACAATAATTAAATTATTCAGTAATTAATTAAATAAATAATCATAATTCTTTTCAAAAAAAAATAACAAACTCTTGTTCCCAAATTTTTTCCCAAAAAGTTGAAATGTTTTGATTATTAGAGTTTTGTGATTGCCAAATTATAAATTTATCACCACCAACCAAAAGCTGGCCTTTACAATAGATACAATAGATATATATAAGGTATTTGTGTATATACAATATATTTGTGTGTATGTGTGTATATATATACAAGCAATTAAATATAAGCAGCAAGGATTAGCTGCATTCAAGAAATATAGTGTGAATGTTTATTATTATAAATATACTAATAATATTTATACGTTATAAATACACACATATATTATATTATTATTTTTTAAATTAAATATTAAATAATATCTATAACCTCTCAACTTACCATTATTATTGCCCCAAGATGTACAATAGATAGAACAGTCATGAAGCAATACTTTTGATAAATTCCATCTGGCTGACTTTTATCAGTAATACAATAATAATTATTATTATTAGAAGACCAATTTATCCATTCATCATTCATCTATCTAGCGTTACTTACCATATCATACAAAGAAGGTTCAAATAAAACAACTTTAGTGCCAAATGTAACTGCAATCTATAACAAGAAATCAATCAAAACTATATTTTTCCAAGGAACATTAAAATTTTTATTATGACAACAATAACAACCAACCTTTCCATTATCTTCTGACATTCCTACAGAAATAATTTCATCATTTTGCTGGTCATCATTACTTTTCAGATTATTACTAACATCAATTGTTTGTAGATGAATAAAATCCCCATTGTGTATTACAATTTTATTTGCGGCCCCATATATCTTTCATTTAAAATATTAATATATAATGATAATAAAATCTTAATAAAATTATTCATGAATATTTGACAACAAAAATACAATACTAATAATAATTCATACAATATAACGAGTATTATCCCAAAGTGCAGTATAAAAACTTTGAATATGACCATTAGATTTTCCTGGGCAAATTTGTTGAAGTAACATTTTTGATGAATTTAATCAAGACTAGATGGATTGTACATAAATAAAAGATAGATGTAGATCATTGTTTACACAAAAAAGTTTCACGTGACTAAAAATATTTTTTAATAAAAATACGATGGATGGATGACATCAAAAAAAAATATTCAAATAAATAATTTTTACCAAAATCAATTCATTAATTAGATGGAGATCGTTATTATTTTCTAAAAAAGATCTTCGTAACATATTAAAAAAATAAATTTAACATTTAAAAATCCAAGAATATCACGTGGTTTGAATATTATGTAATAAATAAAAAAAATTTTTTTTTTTATTAATATATAAAAAAATTTTTTTTAATATATTACTTTTATTTACACAAAAATTTCCCATAATAATCATAATAATATAAACAAAAAAAATATATAAATATGGTTTGAAAATTGCTTTTCAAGTTTTTCGTTAAAAATTTTGCCGACCTTTTTATCGTATACGGGCTTTTATATTCACAACACAAAAAATTTGCATGATTTTCAACAACTATTAATTTTTCTCTTTCACTATTTACCGAACCATCATATCAAAATTAAGATTCGAAGAAAATAGAAATATATATATTTAGTTATATATACACAAAAATACAAAAATAACGAATATATAACATATACAATATTTACTGAGTTTTTTATTAATGGATATAAAAACACTTCTTAATAAGGAAGAACTACCAACGAGTCCGACCTCATCGTCAAGTAGTGATTCTACTGACTCGGATCAAATCGTTGAGAATGATCGACCATACGATTGTAATTGGCAAAATTGTTTAAAAGCTTTTTCGAGAAGATCGGACCTAGCGAGACATCGAAGAATTCATACCGGAGAACGTCCATACCATTGTGAGTGGCCTGATTGTGGGAAACAATTCATTCAGCGGTCCGCTTTGACGGTTCACTTTCGTACTCACACCGGCGAGCGACCCCACGTATGCGAATATCAAAATTGCAAAAAATCTTTTAGTGATGTAAGTATCTCAATCTCCAATATATCACTTGTTAACAAGCAAAATATACTAATTTACGTATTTTACTATAATAAGTCATCCTCATTGGCGCGACACAGGCGAACACATACTGGTAAAAGACCTTATGTATGTCCACATATTGCATGTGGAAAAACTTTTACTCGGCGCACTACTCTTACAAGGCACCAACGAGCGCATAATCCACACTGGAAAGAATATAACAAGTAATTAACCATAAAAGTTTTTATATAATGTGTAAACAGTGATGGTGATAGTAATTGTGTAATTATATAATAAGATATAAATTTCTTACATTTCTTTTTATTTTCTTATATAATCACTATTACTATTACCTTTTATTTACACAATCACAACATTTTAGGTTTTTTATTCGTTCAAAACTATAAAGCCATTTTACTAATTAATAAAAATAATAATGATTCACAAAATTTTTTTTAGTAATGAATCACGAAAATCAACCAGTGTAACTGCAACAAATAATTCGATCGTTCCAGAATCACTAAATATTTCAATTATCAATAATTCTAACAATAATATTGTAACTACAACAAGACCATATCAACACTATAATAACATTGATAATAATAATAATAACAATGGATCTTTAAGCCCACCAACACCAATAGATCGACCAATAGATTGTTATTATTATGATAACAACAATAATCAATCAGGGTATCCCCCACTTTTCAATAATCACAACTCACATTATCACAATAATTATAATAATCCTTTACCTTGTTTCACATATATCTCTCAACCAATGAATTCTTCATTCTTCAGTCCAAACAATTCAAAAAGAACAGCTTTCAAACCTGTCATGAAAGAAGCCGACTATAATTATTGGAATAGGATTCGTAACGTAGTATAAATATCTCAAAACCAATCATCATCAATCGATCGATCATTCTTAATGATGATAATTTTTTTCACCATTTTCAATCACATTACTAGGTTATGATATATATATACGTTAATACTTTCGAAGTGACATATTAATTAACGCACTAAAAAATTTTTTTTTTTTTTTTTTATTTTTTCGTAACAAATAATCTCTCATAATTTATAATAAGAAAAACAAAATTCATTTCAAGAAAAAAAACACACACACAAATATATATATTATGTTTCTATAAAGTTAAATATATAGAAAGGTCAGGTCGAAAAAGGTTCACACAATATATAAAATAAGTTAATAATTCCCGAGTCTCATAATTAAGCATTTTTTATTCATATTTTCAAAAAACATATATATTTATATATATATGATTCTTTGCATTTATTATAGATTTTTTTTTTTTACAAATATATAGACATACAAACATATAGAGATTTATTATATAACAATCACCCCACCATTACTCATTTTTTATTTTGTAAGATATATTTTTATTATACATATACACAATATATATATATATATAGATTTTTAATTTACATATGCTTTTTTATTAAACCCGCATTTTATTAAGATTTCAAAAAAAAAAAGTAAATTTTTTAAATATATAATAATTAATAGATTTATTTAGAAGATTTTACATTACTCGTCATTCTCATTTTCTTTATTCCTCTTTTTAATCGCACACATAACAAAAGCCGGTTCGAAAAAAAATTTAATGAATAATTGGCAAAAAATAAAAAAAATTGGTCAAATGGCGTCGTCTAGTAGTACTAAGACTTTTTTAAAAAATAAAATTATTTTACTATTGTTTTTGTTTATTTTTTATACAGTATTTTGGGATTAGAGCTGTTTTTATATGTTTAATTCGTGATACATGATAGACGTAGATGATCGGCACATTTTTCAAAAAAACGGGGCTAATATGTCACAGGTGGTTATAAAATAGAAAATCCGACTCGTGTAACAAATCAGTTTTTTAAAATATCTCATTATTTTTATAACAAATTCAAACATCATTATTAATCAAAGA